TTTTATGTGCTTTAAACGTTTATCTAGTGATATTACGACTTCAATATTTGTGGCGGACAGACGTAAAGTCGAATAAAATGACTTAAACTTGATTTTTATTTTTCCATATACTTTTTTAACAAGCGACGTATAATCGGGAACGACGTAACTCGAAACGACGTAAGTCGAGGTATGCCTGTAGTTAGTTAATCGGGGACTCCTGCCGCTAAGTTTTCCATATCTAGTTTCTCATTATCGCGTTTTTGCTTTCAGCTTATTTTATTAACTCTACTGAATGCGCTTTTTTTCTTTTATGTAGATCTACTAATGTCATAAGCGATTTGGATACACACTTAATACGAATTTCACGTAAGAACAGTTTTCTCGCAATCTCGTCTCGAGTCGAGATTTTATTTAAAGAATTGACAACAGGAAGTAATAAAATTTTGTAATAAGAAAACTAAAAAAAAATGCAGTGTTTCACATATCTGATGCCTAACACCTACAGAACAGTGCTCTACCAATCGTAGAGCTGAAATTTTGCGTACAAAATTTTCATATTACACTTTAAACAGTTTAAAGTGTCATATTTGAACCGGCGTCGGCATTTCATATTGAAATCCGGTGGATAATTTGTGTGGGGGCCACGAATTTGTTCACCCTCTTTGAAGCTTAGTAACTCCTGTGCTTTTTGTCGAAAATTTCTGAAATTTTGCAGGGAGGTTTGTTTATTAGGGGATTGATGCTATTAAATTTTGGTGAGTAAAGGTCGACGGGTGGTGAGATAAAGGGAGTCGTGTATATCTCCAGTAAGGTCAGACTTAATGACGATTTTACTCGTTATTAGCATTTACAATGTTTTATAAAATTCCCTACCCTCAAAATTAAGTTTATTGCCATTTTAAATTAAAAAACCTTGTTATATGTTTAACTATCATAACAGATGGAGCCACTGAATGTCACTGGGAAAAGCACTAATTAATTTGCTTGTGCGATTAATGTGTCTTATTATGTTAACTGGAGATTTTTTAATGATTAAATTCTAATGGATAATTTTATCGCTGTTGGAATCGAAACTGAATTGATGCCAATTTTACACATAAACAAGTGTCTTAAGTCTTATAAAAATAAAAACTTGTTTGTTTATTCTAATGTATCTATCTACATATAAATCCACTTTCTTTAATAATATAAATGCTTACAAAAACTATGAAAGAATGATCAAATTTACCATTAAATTCCTTGTTCGTTATTAGTTCTAATTTCGTTAAATTCCGAACATTCGAAGTAGAATTTTTCGAATAATTTTAGGGAAAAACAACATGGAAGACAATAAAATCTATTTATAAACTGTACAAAATTTATTGCGTCTTTTCATTTCAAAAGCAACATTACTTACAGGTTACTCTTCTAATTTTTTTCCACGAATAATATTGATCTTATACATTTAAAATATATTTGTATACTTTTAAACCTATTGAGCTAGTGTAGTGTATTATTTATTCCAAATTATTTTTCATAAATCTGTGAGATCACAGCATCGGTCCCATCAGTGGTCAAGCAGTTCCGTTCACTGAATACTGAGAGTTCGGTCGTGGGTTCGCGCCTCGCCGGGATGGGCTGCCCACGTCGAGTTTTCCGGGTTTTCTCCGTGTCTGTACCCCTGAATAGGAGCCAGTTACCCTTAAAAGACCTCCCGGAAGGCATTATTCCCCGCGTAACGACCATCATAAACTCATACAACTACAATTACGTCACACTACCACGGGCTGATAAAGTCTAGAAGCTCATGTCCAACTAGCTGATACAAGACAAGATCACAGCTTTGACATCCGTCAATATTGTGAAAAAAATTTTTCTTTATTGCTAAAGATTACACCTTCGACAACATACAAAACTAAATACAGTCGAACCCCTATAACACTGTTGATTATTCCGTTTTATATGAATTCCATGTTGTACGAGTCACTTAGATTTTACAAATACTGTACATGAGCCATTCACAGCCCGGCACACGTATTTGTAAAATCTAAGTGACTCGTACAACATGGAATTCATATAAAACGGAATAATCAACAGTGTTATAGGGGTTCGACTGTATTTAGTTTTGTATGTTGTCGAAGGTGTAATCTTTAGCAATAAAGAAAAATTTTTTTCACAATATTGACGGATGTCAAAGCTGTGATCTTGTCTTGTATCAGCTAGTTGGACATGAGCTTCTAGACTTTATCAGCCCGTGGTAGTGTGACGTAATTGTAGTTGTATGAGTTTATGATGGTCGTTACGCGGGGAATAATGCCTTCCGGGAGGTCTTTTAAGGGTAACTGGCTCCTATTCAGGGGTACAGACACGGAGAAAACCCGGAAAACTCGACGTGGGCAGCCCATCCCGGCGAGGCGCGAACCCACGACCGAACTCTCAGTATTCAGTGAACGGAACTGCTTGACCACTGATGGGACCGATGCTGTGATCTCACAGATTTATGAAAAATAATTTGGAATAAATAATACACTACACTAGCTCAATAGGTTTAAAAGTATACAAATATATTTTAAATGTATAAGATCAATATTATTCGTGGAAAAAAATTAGAAGAGTAACCTGTAAGTAATGTTGCTTTTGAAATGAAAAGACGCAATAAATTTTGTACAGTTTATAAATAGATTTTATTGTCTTCCATGTTGTTTTTCCCTGAAATTATTCGAAAAATTCTACTTCGAATGTTCGGAATTTAACGAAATTAGAACTAATAACGAACAAGGAATTTAATGGTAAATTTGATCATTCTTTCATAGTTTTTGTAAGCATTTATATTATTAAAGAAAGTGGATTTATATGTAGATAGATACATTAGAATAAACAAACAAGTTTTTATTTTTATAAGACTTAAGACACTTGTTTATGTGTAAAATTGGCATCAATTCAGTTTCGATTCCAACAGCGATAAAATTATCCATTAGAATTTAATCATTAAAAAATCTCCAGTTAACATAATAAGACACATTAATCGCACAAGCAAATTAATTAGTGCTTATTTTTATAGAATTTTAAAGTTTAAATATTTTTAGAGGATTATTTTTATTTTTTATTTTTTGCCTTCAGACGTCGCACAAAGAATTTAAGAAAATGACGTCACTTCCCAATGTGGCGGCCACCGTGAATTAACGTATCATCATTAGAAGGAATTTATAAAGATTGGTGGAGATTTCGCAAATTATAGTTGTCATCAATATGGACGAGCGAACGGCCAAATTAGGCTATACTCCGCAAAAAGAAGTTATTTATAATAAACTCTTACCGTATTCTGAAGAATTAGACGAAGAATCTCAAAGACTTTTTTCAGAAATCAAAACAAATATAGCTAAATCTATTTTGCTTCATGAATTAAAACCTGGAACAGTTCATTGGTTGACAAATCTGTCCAGGTAAAGTATATTATTTTAATATGATTTTCCATTTGTATTTAAGAAAGTAACGTTATATTTTTGAAATATGATGAAATTAGGACATTTAATTATTAAGTTTATGCCTGAAGAGATTTAATATTATTTATAGATCACATTGGATTTTCAGTATTATAAGAAGGCGTGTTCTATATTTTTGAATTTTAAATTTTACTAAAATGAAATGGAGATTTAATATTATGTCAATTTTTGTATACTTTGTATGTGTACAGAGTTCTAAATCTTCCCACAGCTGGTTATATATTAGTAAATAACATCAACAAAACCTTCAAAAAGATTTTTGAAGGTTTTGTTGGCATTACCTGGTATGTATTTTGATTAAAACTTTTACATTTCTGTTGAAAAATTTAATTAAAAGTAAATGGGGAAAAATTTCCTGTGAATTTCCTATTGGAATGGGAAAAATCCCTGTTTACTGAAAAGTAAATGGAAAAAAAATTGAATTTTTAATCTTTATGTACACACACCATCTATTTGTGTTTGAAGTTTTCAAAATTTCTTGCATATTTAAACTCGTTTTTCTTATTTGTTATTTGTTTTTCTCTAAAATCGACACTTTAACCATCGTTTTCCTCTCGTGAAATACTAGAGGAATCTGTCTGTAGTGTTCCATGAGAAATAGAAAAAAGATTTTGGAATAAATTTGCAATAAAAACTGTGATGTACTATGACATATTACTTTATCTGTAAACAATTCCGTGTTTCTATTTTATTCAATATGTAAAGTTTGTTAGATTATTGCTTTGCTGCTTCCCGAGAATAGTAAGTGCAGATTTACTTATTGATTTTTAAATATACTGATGCTAATACTCCGCATAATAAAAAGTATATGAATGGTGTTCCATGACCTCAGAAAGGTTGAGAACAGCTGTTTTAGAGGAAGATAGAAGACTCAAAGGATATAATCAAAAATTTTTTGTTTTATTAAAATAACATAAATTTAGAAAATATAATTTGATTAATTTCAGATTATTTTGTGAAAATCATGTAAAAACCAAACATAAAATAGTTAAGCAACATTAAATTACCTGTGCTTATCAGTTATAAATATGTTGTAGCAATTACTGGTATTTGCTATCTTGATTTTCCTCATTGTAAGGTTGCTGTGATTATTTTTGCTTCCAAGTTTTAGTTTACTAAAACTATGTACAGTGATGCCTCGTACTTCAAATTTAATTCATTCCAGAGGTGTTTGAACTCTGAATCATTTAGTCAGAATCAATCATTAAAAATCATTAAAAATAGTAGAAAGTGAACTAATCCATTTCCAGACACTGAACAATATCCATTTCGATAAACTTAAAACAGCAAATACATATAGTTTAATTAAGGTAAAAATAACAAAAGTAACAAATAAAATAGTAATTAAATGCCTTAATAATAAATTAAAACTTGAAAACTATAAATAAAATATGTAGATACTGTATAATAAAATGAAAACTTTATTTATTGGTTGCACACATTGGACTTGGGCATCTTAACATAGACGTGTGATTTGATTATAACAGGATAAAAAGCACATCAGGCATATTATGATTTATGACTTTCAAAAGCAATATAATTGTTTTTACTTTCTTTAGGCAATGTATGTGTATGGGAAAGATGCTCCTAAACTTCAAAGATGTCAAATGTATTTTAAAAAGTTCCATTTGGAAATTTTGGACTAAAGGATACAAAACATACAGGGTACCCAAAAGCTGTTAATAAAGAAAAATTGTTGGAAAAAATTGTTAAAAATAGACAAATAACACACAATACAGTATATATAACCAAACACACCAAAAATAAAGTGAAAAATGCACTGAAAACATACAAGCATAACGTGAGAGTGAGAAATGACTCAGACACAGATTGCATTTATGCTTTGAGTACATTTTTTCACTCTGTGCACAGTTCGAACTTTGATGCATTGTTCAAACACAAAGGTGACTTTTTGTTAAATTTTGCATTTGAAGTTCGTCATTTAAAGTATGAGGTACTGTACAACTATATATAATGACTAAAACTTAGGAAAGCGATTAAAACATTACTTCCAATTAATATTTTATCTGAGAGTAATTTTAAGGACAACTAATTTAACTTATACTTTTGAATTCTATTAAAGTATTATAATACAAATGTAATAGTCTTGTGTGATTACATTGATAACCTACAGATTAAAAATAATAGCAATTTCAAAAATTATGTTTTTTACAATTAAAGACTATCTGTTTTAGCACATACCACTATCATTTTGATGCCATGTTTGAAATGGGAAACATGACTATTTACAGTGTGCACAGATGCTAATATTTCTGCTTACCTGTATTAATAGAATGTATGTTATGTTTAAAATATCACCAAAAATAATCATGGATAATTACAGTAAAAAGTAAAAAGGTGATTTACAGTTTATCAGATTATCAGTTGTGTGACTAGAAATGTAAAGATATTGGCAAAAGTGTGCTTCCTTGGCAGTAGAGTTTTCTTTCTCATATATGACATTGAAATGATGAAAGCATGTACTGAAAACACATCATGCCATCTAATTATAAAAAATCTGAATTTTGAATTGCTATTATTTTTATTTTCATGTCATACTTATGTAAGACTATTTCTACATATACTATAGTGCTTAAGTATAGTTTGAAAATATATTACATTAGTTGTCCTTAAAAGTATACTTAAACTTTATTGAATTAAGATTGATTGAAGGAAATTTATTATTATGATGTTCATATTATTATACAAATATAATCAGTTATGTCTTCCTTTTCAGAATATATATCAATTTTTGTCTAATATCTAGGAATATTATTTATTTTTTTGATATATTTTTGAAATGCATTATGAACAATTATTTTCAATAAGATATATGAATGAAGATGGTTATATCAGATTTCATCTGGCAATTGGAATGGTTGAGTGGTTAAGTTGTCAGTCTCCACTTTGGGGACTTGGGAATTTATCTAGACAGGCCAAAAAATCTTAGGAATTTTATAATGGATGGTTCATCCTGAATATGTCAGAATCTGTCCCTCACCACCTATCTGAATACATGATGGCTTGATTAAAAGGGCTACTTGGTGCCCACAGGACTGAAAGAGTAAAAAAAATCATCTAAGTTAAGAATTTTTCAGTTTTTAGAAACAAGGAAAATATATGTAAATATAAAAAAGAAAAGCTAGCTGAAACTATTCCATATCAAATATATAAGTACTAGCAGTTGAGTCCGGCATTGCTCGGGAAAAAAGTAACGATAGTGAAAATTATTAGATTATAGCCGATCTTACCCATTTTCACTGGGTGCAAGAATTAGGTCCCCTATTCTGAGACTAATCAGAGAATTTTTAGATGAGTCTAAAAATATGTTCAATTTTCCACAAAAATGCAAAAAACTGAATTTAAAATAGTACAGTAGAAGCTGAGTTGTTCAGAATAAGCCTTAATCCTCTCTCTTTCCCCTGTGGGGGAGAATTTCAACAAATCCCTTCTTAGTGTGCATTCTCATGGCATACCCTAACTGTACCAAATTTCAGCTTTCAACTCCTAACTATTTGGACTTCTGCACTTATTATTATTGACAAGACTATGTCTTGTTTATAAAATTGTACTGCCACTCGTTCTTACCAGCATAGAGGTATGAAGGAGTACATGTCAAGAGTTGATATTTGGCACAGAGTATTAGGTGCTCAAATCATTTGCGCATAAAAAAATCCAGACTCGTAGGTAGTCAGGGAATTGAGAATCGAGTCAAACTAAAATACAAAATGGCGACCCTCTTCTGCAAACAGGCAAAACAGTCACCTTACCCCACCGAAGCAGGTAGGGGAGAGTACCACCCACAGTCATTCTAAGAAGTGAATTCTGACCTTAGGACTGAACACGTAGTTTCTTGTAGATTAAATAAAATTTGTAATCTAATTTTATAAATTTGGGAGTGCTTCATATTTAAGTCATAAATTTATTTTCACCTGCATTTCAGTTCCCAGTACTATTGCAAAAATATGAAAACATAGTCAGAATGAGATTTTGTCAGGATCATTAATATTGTTTTTTATTCGTTTCAATCAATGAAAATTAAAAAAATGATTATATAATAAACAACAAAACATTTTTTTAAAATATTTTTTTTACTTAATCATTAATAATGTAATGGAATGGATATTAGTATTAAAGATACAAAGTCTAATAATCAAATTATTAATACAATGATCATAAAGTTATTAAGGTATTATGATATGAGAAAGTTTTGAAAAATAATGCCTTTTTAAATTTTTCAGATAATACTTTTTATTCAAACTGAATATACGAAATGAAATACAGTAGATCCCCCTATAAGACGGTAGATACGTTCCGTTCTTTATGAATCAATTTTGTAGGAATCATAGTTTACGGACTACGGCTGTTTGAAAGGTTTTCTTTCATAAAATTAATCGATTCTAGACTAATTCGACTCAACATTTCCAAAATACGTATATTTTTTTG